ACCCATTTAAGCCGTCTCCAGCCATTATTAGTCTCAAAGTGGGTTCCTCGTCATCGAATTTGAAACTATCACTATATATTATAAAGAATCTGGTTTGGTTCTGTAAATTATAGATCTCTTCTGAATAATAGAGTTGCGATCCTCAAGCTAATGGTGTCACTTTCTTACTTGATGCGTATTGACAAAAAAAATCATGATATCCAATCAAACAGTTTAGGTGTGAAAAAAAGGTGCGGCCAAAAATGGATTAAGTGTGTGACTTAAAGGAATGAAATCAAAATTGGTGGCCAAATTAGTAGCTACACTTATAGCATTGATAATAATTTTACAGCAATTATTCATTCATTATTTAGCTAGGCCGCCTTATTTGTTTTACCCACCAAAAACGCGGCCTGGCTAAATAATGAATGAATATTTGCTGGAAAATTCTTATCAATGCTATAAGTGTAGATACTAGTTTGGCCGCCAATTTTGATTTTATTCCTTTAAGTCGCACGCTCAATCCTTTTTTGGCTGCACCTTTTTTTTTCACACCTAAAGTGTTTTTAATTAGATACATATATTGTTGTACACGTGCAGTTCTTTGTTTTACTTGACATATGAGCATCAATAATAATATGACAAGTCTCAAGGCTTATAACGCCAGAAACCGGGTTTCAATAGCCGTGGTGAAGGCAACACAGACAGCCCATTGTGTAGCTTTGTGTTTAACAACAAACAAACAAATTATTTTGTTTGAGTAGGCCTAACCATAAATGAATTTTACTAAATTGAAAATTATGTGTGTAATTTATTTAGAAAATGTACAAAATGAAATTTTCCACGTGAGGTCTTTACATTATTGAAACTTTACTGAATTTGTTGTACTAACAAAGATAAATCAAAATTTGAAGATCTGACCACACCGTGAGTATGGGTATTGTCTTTTCCGTGTGAATAACAAAGACAATAGTTGCATTAGTCGATGGCGAAAAAGGTTTTATATATCTGCCATTAGATAGCTAAAACAATGTTTTTATGTTAAAATCTTCTTGGGCAAAAATAAAAAAATGCAGATTTTTACATTGGGTAGTGTAAATGTCATACTGTTAAATTTCTTGTTCAATCAAAGGTTAAATTAAATGTATTCCAAAAATGTGGAAAGTTTTCGATTCGTTTCTCATCTCTTTAGTACGATGAGAATCATTTGATATTTTACCTGTATAGTCTCTCACAGTTGGTAAGTGTAGCTTCTTATAACGAATGACTTTTAAATAAATAATAATAATCTATTCAAATATTTTCCATATTTATGTACGATTTCCATCAAATTGTGCACCACTTCGTTTATTATTTTGTCCACTTTCTTTAGAGAGATAAGCTAACACAAATTTCTTTGTAATTGCTTTAAACACTAAAGTTGTTTATTGCAAAAAAAACACAAGCTATAGAAAATAATACTGAGTAAACAAAGGAAATGAAAAGTGTACGTATATATATATAGACAATTAAGCTAAAAATGTGAAGTTATATTTACATAATTATGTAAAAGTATAAATTTCCATTGTTATTTCGTATGATTGTTATTCAAATCCAAAAATGGACAACATGATCTACATTGCTTTTGTCCATTCGTCAAACGTAAATCTGCTTTTCTGATTTATCTTAATATCTGCTTGATTAGGGTAGGAAAGTGTGGAATAGGACTGTATGCGCAAGACTTCATTTTTGATAAAATTAGATGATAACATCATGAACCCCATAGAAGTACAGAACACAGAAAAGTAGCCTCTGATCACCAAATCATTTGCTGTAGAGTATTTTTCCACGCTTATTTTTATAAACAAAGTTTGATGTTTTCTTGCTCATTTGCAGACATTTTTTTCAGTCTGCGTAAAAAATACATTTAAACACTTGTTGTGAACTGTTTTGTATTTTTCTGGATATCTTGTTTGGTCATATGAGAGTTACAGTAGTGTATGTGTAGTTAGTAGCCATAAAATAAGTCTTAAAAAATCTTATTTGCAAATGCTTTTAATTTATTCAGTGAACATTATCTACATAATTTTCTTATTAACCACATTCAAGACTTGTAACAATCTCATATATTCATACGTTATTTTTACATTCTGTACACAACAGGAAAAACGTTTTCGTAGTTCACTTCAAGTCACTCTTCTGTAAATATCAAAAATAATAATAATCATGAACAAGAATTCAAAACCTAAATATAAACATGCAGCTAATATTCATCAAAGTAGTTAGCAGTTATTCATGTATAAGAGTTGAGTGTATGTAAATGACATTTTAAAGTAATATAACTTAATTTATCTATATATATATTCAAATTACTGTAAGTATTCCTTATGAGCTCTATATTGAGTGAAACATGTCGTCCGCAATTGATAAGGCGAACATTGTGTGGTAGAAATACTACAAATATACATTTTTCTAATTCATGAAAATATATGGATAAAGAATGTAATGTTTAAAATATGATAGGCCTAATTCTTATATCATTTGACACGTATACTTAATTATAATCATGTTTCACCAGCTTGGAAAAGGCGTTCACACCATAACACTTGTTCAAAGTAATTCATATTTGTTTTTGTTGGTCGTTTCTGATATACAGAAATACAAAAAAAAGAACAGTGCTTACCTTATCTTTAGTGAAACTTAGCTACGCCAAGACCGTGACCATAGCCGATACCGCCTACTCCAAGACCATATCCAAAACCACCCAGTCCATGGCCGAATCCGAAACCACCAACTCCATGACCGAGTCCTAAACCACCAACTCCATGACCGAGTCCGAAACCACCAACTCCATAACCGAGTCCGAAACCACCAACTCCATGACCTACTCCGAAACCACCAACCCCATGACCGAGTCCGAAACCGCCCAAGCCTACTCCAACACCTCCGTGGTTAATATGAGTCACGTGGGAAGCAGCTCGGCCAACAGGGATTCCTCGTCCACCAAAAGCAGGGGCGACGGCAGCATGACCAACAACAAAACCAGCGTGGGGAGCACCAAATCCGCCGCGATAGCCGCCCAGGTAGCCGGCCTGGGTATAAGCCACAAGAGCGAGGAAAGCTGCAGCAAGCTGTTGAAGAAAGAAAAAATAAAATTCTCCGTTAACGTTTATAATTTGTAGTTTCATCTAAATTCTACATACACTGATATATCCCGAGAAAACACATTTAAAATTGGTTGGAATTCTAACATTCATCCTGATCAGCAGATAAGTGCTTTGTAATTAAAAGATCTGTTGGGCACTTCTAAAAAGAAACACTCATTCTTAGCTACAGACAAATCTACAATATTATATCTATATATTAGAAGAGAATGCTTTTCCAAAACTGACAACATAGAAAATATTTTTAGAGCTTTAAATTAGAACTAAAACATCTTATTTAATTGGAAGAAATGCGTATTTATATTTTGACTAAATACATTGTCTGAAGAGAAAGCAGTCGCTTGATATATATTATATATATGTTTCTTACCAAAAACTTCATCTTTAGTTTTGACTTTGGTTGTCGGGTCTGGAGGCTCAAATATAACAGAATGTAAGTTTGAGCTTCTTTTATACACGTTATTTTTCAGTGAAAATAAAAATTTTATTAACAATATCCCATATGTCACGCTATGGCGTTTCTTGCGATGAGGGTTTGGTGGTAGCAAGGCCACTGTTTTTTTATGTGCATACGCCTTCGTTTACTCTCAACAGGCTGAAGGAAACGTTTTACTGCGAAACAATTTCGGTAATTTCGAAGTTTTAGAATTGAATTGCCTATACAATTGATATATTTTTTACCGAGGTCAAGCTAGGTTAGTAAGTGTTTCCAACATGTACGATATGGTCCAATTATCCCAAGATATACCAAAAGTTGGACTGAATCCCACTGTGTAAATTATTATTAAGTTTCAACCAGCTAGAACTTCATGAAAACGAAGGTTAGACACACTAGATAACTCCTCAAATTATTCACGTTTTCTTTTTTGCACAATGCGCTACACATACAGGTTTTACTGAACTCTCGGCCTTGTGAAACTATACTTTTAGATAACGATGTAAGTTTCTTTGAACTAAAAGGTGTGTGTGTGTGTACGGGAGCAACAACTTTTTATCTTAGTACCACTATATCACCAAGGTAACAAGAGGCTTAGATATATTGTGGTGTTGTATATGATAAAACGAATATGTCGTATTACAAAATATTAAAAACATTACTCAGTTTCGAGGAACCCTGTTATAACTATATATTATTCCCATTAAATCTAATGTAATTCTGACATATAGACTGTCATTTGTTTCCTGCAGCATAATAATAGACAGGTATGATTGGATTTTCTGTAAAAGACAAGAGTAATTGAATGTGGTTTCCACATTTTGTAAAACATTTGAAGAAATTTGTTTTAAGCTTCAAACACCTCAAATTTTATATTTTCTAGTCAATAAATTATTTTCACGTCACCAACAGAGGGCTCCCATAAGATGGAAAGGATTTAAAATATTTTAATTAACTCTTAACCGCTAGTGTGATTTTTGGTGGAATTATACATTTCTAAAAGTATATTTCATAAACAAACTTCAAAAAAGGAATACTATCATATTAAAATCTTCCTCTAAGGTACGACAACAAAAAGTAGCAATATTATTACAACTACAAAAAATAATTATTAATAAAAATTAAATCGTTTGGGCTCAGATAGATCCCATTCTATCTGATCTGCGTAGGAATTCCGTTAATATACACTAGCATTTGTGGTGTCTTTAAGTACATTTTCAAGCCTTTAAGAGAAATAATGATTACAGTGGCTGTCACAATATAAAATACTGTTTACGGTAGATATTATTAATTTATATATTTTCTGAATTAATATTTTATGATTGTTTAGTTTTTATTATAATAAGAGAGTTAAAAGCAGACAATTGTTGGAAGTTGTGTTTATAATTCATTGATGTTGAGACTATCGAATATCGCGTGCAATACACTGACGTCGAGAATATAGAGATTTCTAGAAGACGGGCAAAAAATTAAGTGATAAACATATAAATAGTGTGAGACGAGCGGGAATAGTAGACAGACAGAAGAAACTGAGAAAGTAAACTCGTGGGAAGTAGAAGTGCGGCCAAATGAAAGGTTAGAAAACTTAATGTTAACCATCGTAGGAGTAAATAGCCTAACGGTTGATATGATAAAGTAAGATTAACAGTTTTCTGACATTTTAGGGGAATAATTTGTCTCGTCAAAGGGTGTTCTAAAGCAATTGAACTTGCATGTATGGACTTTGACAAAAAGCAGATGATTATTGGAAGTAGACCTAAATACGAAAAACAGACGGACAAACAAAGACAGAGCTGACGAGAAGTAAAGTTACGAGAAGGAATTCGGCCATAGAAAAGTTAAATGCAAAGTTAATCATCAGAGGAGTGAAAGGACTGACGATTAATATGTTAGAGGAAACTAACAGTTTTAAAAGAAATAAGTAGTATAGTTTATTCCGTCAAAGTGAGCTATAAAGTAATTGAACCAGTCTGAGTGCATTTTTACAAGAGGAACAGACGATTACTGGAAGAGAACTATACGACAGTGGTAACTCACGCTATAATTGTAAGTGAATTATACACGGAATACTAGTGTGATAGAAATAGAGAAATGTAGTTCGGCTTGTTAACTGAAATTTTAAAGTAATTGAATAAGCCTAAGTGGACTTTTGACAAGACGGAGAGAACTATATATAGTGTTTATGGCATGCCTATAATCTGTATAGTGTAAATAATTTGTTGTATATACGTTTAACCAGTTCAAATATATATAGATTATTTTGAAAACAAGTGGAGTGCGTACTGTTCGTATATTTGTGAATTTATCGCCAACAAGTCACAGACACCTACTGTAGAAGAATCCCAAGCCCAACAACGCAGTATATATTTATACTATCAAGAAGTATATGTAAAAGCCTTTAATTGATAATTGGCCAACATAACTTAACATCTGACAGTGGCTAATTTTCTTACATGAACTTGATCTCAAGCAGATTCTCAAACTGGTTTGATTTTGTTATATTATGGTAAGTTCGTATATAAATCACGTATAATTGTAAAACTGTGAAAGAAACGATTGATAACAGGTTGTTATTAAAATAATTTGTTATTTGCATCGTTCTTAATCAAACTGTATATCATTATTAGCAAGGTAATGTTGCACAATATATTTATATAACTAGCAATACATTTCCAGTTCCACAGCTTTAGTAACAAACCAAAATAATACTGATTTATGTTAAAATGTAGTGTGTGTGTGGTATTTCAAATCGGTTATCGCCACTATTTTCCTTTTTGAAACAGTAAGTTATAAAAATAAAGGCATCTTTGTTCACTACAACCGTTTTTTCATTACAGTGGAACACGAAACGTACGTTAACTTTCCTGTATTTCATGAAAGGCTCCCTTTTTTATGGACCTTAATGAACTGCAGATTGCATTTATATTTCAACCAAAGTACATGGATAAGCCTGCAGTTGTTTGTTGTTAAGCAGTGTTCGTTACAAAAAAGTTCCCTTCTTTTCAAGTTGACAGGTATGTAAATAATAAAAATAGTTGTTAGCACAGAAATGAACCCAGAACAATTTGTTTAAAGTAAAATGTTTATTATGTAAATCGTGACATTCTTCTTTCATTTTAAGACAACAAATTACGCTTAAATGATTTATCAACACTAACATTTTTTATCGTAACATAACAATAAAAAAGAAAATCACCACACCATTATGACTGAAGTAAAATGTTTTGTAAAAAGTATTTTTCATACATCAAAGGGTCTGGTGTGATCTAGTGGTTAGCATGCTGATCTGTGGGATTCATGGTTCGCGATTCATTGCGACAAACACGCGTCCCACACTCTGGAGCTGAGGATATGCTATACAATTGACAAACAAATTGAAAAACAATTACTTTTCACTCTAGGGTATCAGCTCAAAATTAGAGACACATGTGTCCGTAGGTAGTCGCTGTTTCAGGTTTGCTCGAAAATTCTCAAACAAATACAACAAAGAAGCATTACACATCAATTTCAATTAAAATTTTCTCATGGGAATTTCATCAAACTATCTGAAACTTAGCAGAGCTAAAATGCATGCATAAACATAGATCCAACAGTACATGAAGCTTCCATATAATAAAGTTAATTACAATGGTCTAAATTACACAGAAAAAGGGAACGCTCGACTCGTAATCTGAGGGTCGCGGGTTCGAATCCCCGTCACACCAAACATGCCAACCTCCGCCTTTGCTTGCTCCCAAGTCTAGGATGAGAAAGGGGGAGGGTTGGGCGCGGGGCTAGCAACTCCACCCCGTAAAAACCAACCTGCTACAAGTAACTGCAACAACACCTTCCGTTGGCGAGGTGTTGTTGCGCCCTATGCTCCACTGGGAGTTTACAGGAACAAAAAAAAAAGGCTATTTCACAAACTGAGATTATCTGAATTACACTTGAGAAAAGCTTATTTGAACTGAGCGATACGACAAACCAATTCTATTAAACTGTTTTTTCATACATTCACACAACAATCATAGTAATAATAATAATTACCAGGATCGTGCCTGAACATGTATGTACGTGTAAGCCCAAAAAGGCGGATGTACATTTAACGCAATATGCTCCTTCATTTTCACTTTCTATCTTTTTTTTTCTTTGTTGTTGGAGAAATATATATATATATATATAAGCACAGGTCTTCGAGTTTATATGGAGGTTACGCCCCTGGTTACATACTTCTGTAATCTAACATTATGTACAAATATAAATCATTTCACCTAATCTCTCAGGACTTCCTATAAAAAAGTAAACAAACAATGTTCCCTTTTCACTTACAAGAGGCGCAGTTACTGGCAGTGTCGTATAACTACAATTACCCTTTAAAAATTAGAAACTGTTCCTAATGTTTAAAATGTTTCTGGCGGACACTAATTTATATATAGGAGTGTCAGCACTATAAGCACATTTCGGAGTTGGTAACTGAACAATCTGAGATTTAAATGAAATAGCGATGGTATATTGTTTAATCTGAACACAAAACATTCAGTTGAAAGTATATATATTAATGCTCAACAAACCCCAAGAAACTTATAAACACATACCCTAAAATATACTTTGCATATCTTAGAACGATATATCGAAGAACATCGTAATTGTAAAAGTGAGAGTATTTTATTATTTCAGTAAGTAACTGAACTTAAGGAGCAGCGATAAACAAACTTTAATATTATTGCAATAACACACTGTTTAATAAGGACTGCCTAATGAAAGGTTGTTCCTAGAAGAAGATGGCAACTTGACTGCAAACTGACTGTAGCTGCTGTTGACTCTTACTATTGAAATTATGTGCAAATTGAGTGAAAACAATGCTTTTACTGATTAAACAAGTGCTATATTAATACTCTCTATTTAGGTATGTAGAGGCCTGTATGGCATCTTCAGGAGACAAGTCTTACTTAACACTAACAGTGGTCACATGTGAGCAGTTTAACCTGAGGT